TACTCCTGCGCCGACCGGTTTGACGTGTGCCGGCAAGTGACGACAGGAGCTTACTCAAAAAACTGTCGCTCTACCATGCTTAATGTTCGAGTGTAACGGGGAGAGAGGTAGAAACCCATCGAACGACGTTTGTCTACAGACTTGCGTTTAGAGGAACAATATTATTCATCTATCGAAGTACAGCAACGCGGCAACGCTTAATAAGAGATGGAGACGAGTGGAAGGAAACAACCCATGTTGCGCTATTGTTTTTTCCATAGCGTTTTAGGCTCTGGAAAACGAACATTCAGTATTCAGTCGAAAACGAACATTCAGTATTCAGTATACAGTCGCCTTTCTGACCTACTCTAGAGAATCGTTTCCTCTTTCTTGGCTTAGTCTTGAATGCCATGCGTAATCAACCACCTCAGAACTTTGCGGATTCTCATTCACTATTTCTTTCTCACTTATACGAGGACGAAGGATTGCTTGACAAGAAGCAAGCTTGTATAACTGAAAGCTGGCCGGCCGTTCGAAAATGCATAAACATATAAATCTATATTCTTTCGAGAATGACGAGAGCAAATGTCATTCGTCGCTTGTTCGAAGTGATTAGAAATGCCCTTACCATCCTCCACCAAGAGTAGCGATAACATCAATCTCTTGATATAATGAGTAAGTTTGCTTTCCATGTCTTCATCACCCAAATGACGCTCGAAGGAAAACATTTTCTTTACCATTTCCGCTCATCAATCGTTTTTCAAATTTTTCATTCTGCATAAAAGTGAGTCCTGATTTGTTGTTCAAAAAATGAAGGACCTGGTGAAAATATTTTGCCATGCTTTAGATGGAAATTTAGAGATTCAACGAACAGTGGATGTTCACCAATCTGAGACATGACGACAGAAATTCTCAGGCCTGGCAGTGCTCTTACTTCGGATTTTCATGGTTTTGATCATCCAGGTGGAAAAAGTTGCTGTATTCTTCTTTGTAGTATTCTTCTTTTTCCTCTTCTTGTTTCTCTTCTTCTTCTTCCTCTTTCGCCTCCTCTACCTTCTCTTTTTGTTTATCTTCTCTTACTGCTTTTTCCTCCTTTTCTTCTTCATATTCTTCTCACATTTCCTCTTCTTTTTCCCGTTCTTCACTGTTTTCTTCCGTTTTTCATCTCTATCTTCGTGCTTCTCTTCCTGCTGTTCTTCTTTTTCTTGGTCTTCTCCTTCTTCTTGCTCTTTCTCTTCCCTTCCTAATAGATTGTCTTGAAGAAGGCCGCTGTTATGTGGCCAAAAGACTGACCGTTATGCAGTAAAACTTTATTTAACATCAACAATCCGGCTTGCTTCGCGCTCAAAACTACTCAATCGGAAATTTAAACAATCTATGAGTTAGTGGCGCAGAATCAGAATGAATAAACGAAATCATATGCTCTCTTCTTATGGATCTCCTAATCAATATGACGATGCTCAGAACACGCACAAAGGACCTAAAATCTTATGAATGTAGAATAGCATTAGTACCTTGTGCCTGACCTACTCGCATTATTGAGGTGCTGATATGATCATAAATTAAACACGGATGAGGGGACAGTTCCTTTTGTACCTACCATCAAACACTAGGCAACTTCAAAAGCGCAGAAGCTTCGGCCTTCACGAGCACGGTAGCGCAGATTTCTAGATGTATTACTGTAATTATAAAATCTCACTGTATATCTCGTAACTGTCGACCAATCAGAAAACAGTAATTGGAGAATTATAGATTTCATTTCATCATATCTTGAAGGAACATGAGATACTGACTGCTAGCCTGGACGGAAGAATTCGACGCCATTGTCCGTATCCTGTTTTTTTTTATGAAAGAAGGTGCCCTGGCATCTTTCGCTATGCCGTCATTGTCCTTTGAGCGAACGACGAATGCTGCTTGATGAGAATCAAACAAACATCAAGCTACACTAAGGGAATCAAATCCGTGAACAGCAAGAAAATAGTCATTCACGTCATTAGCAAAACTGTATATCAACCAGCCAACGCTCTGAACAGACAATGGCATCATCATTGCTATTGTATTCGAAAAGAAGACCGAGTCGTTCAGACTATTTCACTATCGATTTGCGGAGTAAACCAGTCGTCGCATGAGTTTTTTCAGACTCGAAAACTGGAACGCTACAGTTCGCCATTGTGAACAATGGAACAGAACCCAATATATATGGATGAGAGGTGCTCGCGTAAGTTGGATGGAAATCAGATAGCTGCGTACGATTAGCAACCAGAAAATCGTCTCCTGCAAGCAGCACAATTAAGTTTACGACCGATCGATGACGTCAGGTCACTGTGTTTATAGTACTCTTTCGGTCTTGTTTCCTATTAAAGACTGACAGTATAACGCAAGACACGATACTTTCCTTCCGATAGTCAAGCACCGTTAGTGATCAGGTGAATCAAAAGAAGCATTTTGGCCTTTGGGCCTTACATGTGTGCGGCACTGTTGAATATAATAATGATCGCTTCCAGGTAGCCATTTGCAATCTTGTCCTGAGAAATGAGGCACGATAGACGTCTCTGAGGAAGTTCCAGGAAATGTGGAAAGATGGACTGTATAATAAGAACAAATAAAGTCCAATCTAAAACCAACTATTTCCTCTGTCATTATATATTACTTCCTGAAAGCATAATATATATTAGAACACAATATCGTAATCGCTCTTAGAATATTACAGCTGTTTCGAACACTTCCAGCAGCACGTCTTGCGCGATATTTTCAAGCTGCTGGGATACAAGGGAATCATGAACAGATCAGTTTGGAACATCGTTCGCATGGACAACTGCTTTTTTTGGGTTCAACCCTGTGCTATTATCACACTGAATGGTCAGCTGTTAGATGGATCAAAGCGAAATGCAACCACATGGACGTTCGCATTTGGCAGCAGAGTATACACCTCGTCCATGTCTGTATACCCACAGCAGAATACCATGTTTTCCCTGGTATCCGCAAACCGATAACTATATGTATATCTTTCATGTATGTAATTTAGTCTGTCTGTCTTCCTACTTTTCGAGGCTTTCGGAAACCTCTACCGGACCACGTTTTCACATTATTAAAACAATCCGCCATGCCTGGTGCTTTCATTACTATTCAACCGATTTCTCTATGAAGCAAGAAGCTGATGAGATCGGTGCCGAGTATATCCGGGGAAGAGTAGTACTTGCTATTCTATTAAGGGTGCTTTTGTTTACAGACAATGAAAATCTGCTCTAAAGCTTTCTGTCATGGGAACCCTCCAATGACCATCGACTGCGAAAAGACGCCATGCAGGGTTCATGGAACGCCATCTATTTCAGACTTTAAGCTATGGTTAGGCATGGATGGTGATAATTTTTCATAATTATGATTATCGGCAACATTTCTTGCAGACGAAGTACCTGCAACATGGAGAGACGCAGTTACGGGATGCGAAACTAAACTATTTGGCAGAAGCATGGGTAAATTATCATTTGTAATGTCAGCTTCGGCTGTTGAACAGAACAGATGGAAGTACAGCCGAATCAACGGTAGTGACCTTTCGACAACAATGTAAAACCATGGACTGGTGAAAGATAACGACAGCAAACAAACAATAACTCGGATGTAAGGTAACAAAAGTCCTCCATTGGAAGTTCATCACCATCATGAATCTTTATGCA